TTTCGGAGGCCCTGAAATGCCAGGATAGTACCAAACCCCCCAAATGACCACTTTTTCTTTTCTTTTCTTTTCTTTAGATTTCAAAACCTTGTGAGAAAAAAAAATTAGTTCTGCAAAATTCTCACCATGCCTCTTTTTAAATTCCTTGGGGTGTCTACTTTCCAAAAAGGGGTAATTGGGGGGGGGGTTTGGAGCTATCCTGGTTGGTGCTATCAGGGCCTTCGAAACTGTGATAAGTAGTGAAATGAGGAAGTTACGCACCTTTCAGACTCTTGTATATGGTTAGGCTCCCAAAAAGTCTCACATGTGGTATCCCCATACTCAGTAGAAGAAGCAGAATGTATTTTGGGGTTTAATTCCACATTATACCCATGGCTTGTGTGAGAAATATATCATTTAAATGACAATGTTGTGTAAAAAAAACACAAGTTTTTGTCAACCTATAGAAAAAAATAAATCTTCCATGGACTCAATATGCCTCTCAGCAGATAGCTTAGGGTGTCTACTTTCCAAAAAGGGGTCATTTGAGGGTGTTTGTACTTTCCTGGTATTTTAGCACCTCAAGAAATATGATGGGCAATCAGAAAGTAAAAGCTGTGTAAATTCCATTATCTATACCATAGTTTGTAGATGCTATAACTTTCACACAAAGCAATAAATTATACACTTATTGGGATTTTTTTAACCAAAAACATGTAGCAGAATACATTTTGGCGTACATTTATGACATTTTAGTTTTTTGGATATTTTTTATGACCAAAATGAGAAAATATCGTTTTTTTTTCCAAAAAAATTTTTTTCCTCAAAATATTTTTTGTTTATAGCGCCAAAAATAAAAAGTGCACAGGTGATCAAATACCACCAAAAGAAAGCTCAATTTGTGTGAAAAAAAGGACATAAATTTCATTTATGTACCGTATTGCATGACCGTGCAATTCTCAGTTAAACTAGTGCAGTGCTGTATAGCAAAAAATGGCGTAAATTGCAGTATCTATACCATAGTTTGTAGACGCTATAACTTTCACACGCAATCATGCAATCAATATACACTTATTGGGATTATTTTTTTTAGCAAAAACATGTAGCAAAATACATTTTGGCCTAAATTTATAACTAACTTTGAGTTTACTATATATTTTTTATAGCCGAAAGTAGAAAATATCGTTTTTCTTCAAAATTTTTAGTCTTTTTTTGTTAATAGCACGAAAAATAAAATGCGCACAGGTGATCAAATACCACCAAAAGAAAGCTCTATTTGTGTAGAAAAAAAGGACATAAATTTCATTTGGGTACAGCATTGTATGACAGCGCATGAACTGACTACCTCATTGTGTACCAAAATTTATATGACTTCAGAGCTAGCAGATACCTTCCTGCAAATTCTACTCTGCTCTCTATGACTTGAAATTGGTTCCCTCTGCCTTCCAACACGACTCCACTTTCTGACATCACAAACTATTTACAAGAGGCCCAAATTCCTGTCCTCACACAGGATGAACCTTAATCCCAGAGTCAACCAATATCAGCGGAGGAGCTTGCAGAGGCAGCTACCCAGCCCAGAAAGGCCCCTTGCCTCGCTGACTTTACACTTGCATACTATACAGCCTTCCTACCCCAGCTCACCACCTACTTCCATGAAGACTTCAACACCATTACGGATTGCCAGAGTGTTCCCTCCGACCTACTAAGGGCCAGCATTTCTGTTATACTGAAGCCTGGCAAAGACCCGTTACTTTGAGCCTGGTACGTCCTATTTTTCTCTTGAATTTTAATGTTAAAGTTAATTTCCAAAAATCAGAGGTCCTCAATATTTCTCTCCCTGACTTTGTTCTCTCTAGTTTATGACCTAATTTCCTATTTAGGTGGGCCACACACTCTATTCAATACTTGGGAACAAAAATCCCTGCGTACCTAAACTCTACATTTAAACTTAATTTTCAGCCCTTCTTATCCTCCCTGTCTATTGACCTGGCAAGATGGCACAACTTGGCCTTATCCTGGTTCGAATGCTGCAATGTGCTTAACCACTTTCCCTCTGGAGGATTTACCCCCCTTCCTAACCAGACCATTTTTTTTGCGAAATGGCACTGCGTTATTTTAACTGACAATTGCATGGTCATGCACAGCTGCACCCAAATGAAATTTATGTCCTTTTTTTTTTTCTCCCCACAAATAGAACTTTCTTTCGGTGGTATTTTGATCGCCTCTGCATTTTTTTATTTTTTGCGCTATAAACAAAAAAGACCGACCATTCTGAAAAAAAAAATATTTTGGACTTTTTACTATAAAACATCCAGTACAAAAAAAAATTTAAAAATCAAATTTAGTCATAAATTTAGGCCAAAATGTATTCTGCTACATGTCTTTGCTAAAGAAAATCCCAATATATGTAAATTAATTGGTTTCGTTATAGCCTCTACAAATGGCAGTATATATACTCGAATTTGTTTTATATATACTAGTAATGGCGGCGATCAGCGACTTATAGCGGGACTGCGGCGGACATTCTGACACTGGGGGGGGGGCTGCCACTTACATCCTAATGACAATAACATCCCAATAACACTAATACAGTGATCAGTGCTAATAAAAAGCTCTGACACTGTACTAATGCCACTGGGCAGGAAGGGGCTAACTGTGTGCTGTTTTTTACAGTGTGTGTTTTACTAGGGCAACATGCTGCTTTGTATTGCTCTTCTATGCAGAGCAATACAAAGCAGCATGTCCGTGCTGACAGGGGAGAGCTGTGTTTACACAGAGCTCTCCACTTTCACTGTTCCTCGGTGATCGTCGGGTGCCAGCAGGGAATCTCCGGCCGTGACCCAGTGATCGACATCTGGAGCCTCCAGTGGCGGTGCGGGTAGAGTGGCGCGTATGCTCCCTACCCGGAAATGCAAAATCACATATTTTGTGCAGCCTTGTAGCAGTAGTTCTGCTATAGGACAGCGGGGAACCGGTTAAAATGAACGCAATGCCAAGGCTTCTATACCTACTGCAGGCCCTGCCTTTTAAGATCCCACAAACATACTTACATTCTGTGAGGTCCGCCTTTGTCAACTTTGTGTGGCATGGGAGACCACCACGACTCAGCAGAGCACTCCGCTTTGACCTAAATTAAAAGGGGGGGGTATATGGTTTCCAGACCCAGCTTTGTATTATACTGCAGTTCACGTGGCCAGGGTGGTAGACTGGTGCAGACATAGCTCCCATAAATTGTGGGTCTCTTTATAGCAGGATGTAGCAAAGGCACTTATATTGGGCCTACCTTGGGCAGGCACTCAACATTCTTCTCATCTATCTTCCCACCCCCTAATCGGTACTACTTTGACTGAATCTGGAAGGCTATATAAACATTCGTCCTTGCAGAGCTTCCCCACTCCAATGACGCTGCTGATAGATCGGCCTGTGTTTAACCCATGTCTATCATACCCCATTTTTTCTGTATACACACCCCAGAGACTGTTATGTGCGTCCTATTGCCTCTACCCAGCCGGTTGGGTAACATGTAGTACTCTTTACAAAACCCGGGTCCCTTCTCCTAAACCAATGGCAGGCCCTCCAATTAGCACATTACCCAAACCACATCTTTTTCAGAGGCCCCTCACCTCATTTGAGAAGCTCTGTTTGGGAGATGGCCTAATATGGAAATCTCTGTCATCTTCATACAAACACCTACTAGCTTTGCATGTGCAATCTCATCCTCCATTTCTTGCAAAATGGGAAGGAGACCTACAATTCACTTTTTCCAAACCCCAAAAAGATTGGATTCTTCTTTTGCTCATAAATCTTCATTGTGAAGAAAGTATGGGGAGACAGCTGATAAAATCGTGACCCAGTGGTATAGGACCCAGTCGGTGCTAGCTAAACTGTTCCCACAGGCAGACGACCGGTGCTGGAGATGTGGCTTCTGTACAGGCACGCTTCTCTATACTTTCTAAGAATGCCCCGATATACATCCATTCTGGCAGTAAGTCCTATATTTTGTCCATAAATTCAGACATTTCCCTGTTTGATGATCCTTCAGCGGTTCTCCTCAACCTGACTCCTCTCTCCAGGAAAAAGTACCACAAATCTCTGCATAAACACTTACTCAACGCACCTAGAGCCTATATTCCTGCTATGTTGAAGCAAGTCTTCCCCTACCTTTTATTGCCCAATGGTTTGCCAGAGTGAACGAAATAGAGAGCATGGAGCATCTGATCTTTGCTATTCAGGGGAAAATCGGAGGAACAAAAGACCAGGTGGCTCTATTAGGACCTCTGATGAATATTCTCAATACCTGTAAACTAACGCACATCCATCATCGTCTCCATGGCTGTTAGTCTTCACACTACCTGCAACCTCAGTAGCTACCCCTTACCCTCCCCTCCCAAGCTTTCCAATCACACTTGTCCCCACCCCCCTTTTTTTTTCTACAGCTTGTTGCCATATGGCATTGCAAAATCCCAATTTGTTGGAGAATGTGGCTAGGGTCAGACACGACTACGATGACATTAAGAGCAATTGCCTGAGAACTCAGTTTCTACAGACATTGCCTTCCACATGTACTGCACTGATTGAGTCTGTTATCATGGGTGACTGTTTTAATCCTGTGAGCTAAATTGTTCTTTGGTACACAGGCTATGCGATGCTTGTTACTGGTAAACTTTTGTGCATCCCTAAATAAAAAATTAAAGGGGTTTTCTACATGTAGTATGTCAAATTGCTTAAAATTTCCAACCTCTACTTATGATAAACAACCAAGGTTTTGATGTATGTTTATCAAAGCATCTTTCTTTAGAACTGCCTGTATGTAGAATCGTAGTAACAATTCTGATTCAAACCTGAACAGAGAAAGGGCAATTGGGGACTGAAAGTTTGAATCTATACTGTAGTATGGATCATATTTATGGCAGTACTTGGATAAATAAGGTCCACTTTCATATACACAATCCAGTTCTTTGTCTAAATTAAAATGTTATGTATAGACAGAAATTTTCAAAATCTTCTACATTTCACAGGTAAACTGAAACCTTGGGGGCAAGCTAATGAGAAGTATGCTGGCACAAGGAGTACTGTATCAGCCATGAGGGATAGTTTCAAGCAGCCTATTCTTCCAACACGGTAAGTACTAACATAAATGTGTGTGTGAGGAGTACAGGCACAACCAGTATTGGTACTGGACTGGAAGTCCAAGCAGTTTTATACTGCACTTTAATTCAGTCAGGCAGCAAACCGTTTCAATTCAGGAAGACTTTGTGTATCACGTTCATAGCATAAAACAATCAAAACATCTGCTTGTACCACGTTTCTATCTAAACCCATTGCAAAAGGATGCTCCCTCATGGATTCCCCAAAACAATAAGACAGCTCTTGTAACTTTTAATGTCCTGTCCAGTCAGCCTTTTTATCCAGCAGCAGTCTCTCGCACCCATGGAAAGTGGAGATCAATTAAAGAGGTGTGAAGCTTTTTTCAGCAGGGCTGCACAAAGCCTCTGAGCTCCGTAACAGGACTAAAGATATTGAGAAAAAGTTGTTTTTCTCCATATCAGACAAACCCTGGAGCCCCTCACAATGTTTGGGTGAGAAAACTATGACATACATCCACCCTCCGCAATTCTGCATGCCAGTGCCTAACTTAACCTTCCCCTCCTTATCAGATCTGTAGAAAGGAGCATATTTTGCCAACATACACTGGGCATAGTGGCTAAATGGTTAGCACTTCCGCCTGGCAGTACTAGGGTCGTTGGTTCGAATCCCAGCCTCGGCACCACCTGCCTGGAGTTTGCATGTTCTCCCTGTGCCTGCGTGGGTTTCCTCTGGGAACTCCAGTTTCCTCCCACACTCCAAAGACATGCTGGTAGGTTAATTGGATCCTGTCTAAATTGGCCCTAGTATGTATATGTATGAATGTAAGTTAGGGACCTTTAGATTGTACGCCCCTTGAGGGTTAGGGACTGATGTGAATGTACAATATATATGTAAAGCGTGGCGTACATTGACAGCGCTATATAAGTACCAGAAATAAATAACACAAATAAATAATATGATATTCCATCAGCAAACACTTGCTGGATTTCTGGTTTGTACACTGTGGCAGTGCGGTACCCTGCCACGGTGGAAAGCACGATGGAGGCCCAGGATTCTCAACCTTACAGGTTGAGGGGCTCCAGGCAGATCTCCTAATGCAGAGAAAACTGGTTTATCAGTTTCCTCTTTGGTTGGTAAAGCCTGTTTTGGGACCTGTAGCCTGGAGATTTCTTAGAGATTTGGGAGGGATGAAATCTCCAATCCTGGGCCCATATTTTGGGAGCAGCCAGCGTGCTGATTGCACAGGTGTGTGCAGGCCTTTTAGGGGAAGCCAGGCCATGATTCTGGGCTCCACCCCGGCAGTTAGGAGGACTCCACCCAGGCAGACGGGAGGTCTCTGCCGTGGAGTCAGGTGGGCTACACCTAGGAGAGGTGGAAGCCGGACTAGCTGTGTGCTAGTGCCATACTTTGGGAAGAGTCTGCAGGAGGCAGACTTAAAACTGCGTACAAGCCAGGAGGCTGAATACTGTTCATTTGAATTCGTGTGATGGTGGATACCCCTGCGTGGGAAACCTTTATGTTATTGAACTGTCATTTAAATAAAAGTGGGCAAACAGGCCCTTAAAAAAATAAGCGAGTTGCCGTGTGCTTTGAAGAAGCTCTACCACTTGAAGCGAGGTCCCACAACACTAAATAAAATGTAAAGTCTTGCAGAGTCGGAAACTAACTTGTAGTGTTTTCATTGCTCCTTTGTTCAAACCCATAAACTATAGTAGAAAAATGGTGTGTGGTAAACCAGTGGTTTGTCCAGACACCTGAAGCTAGCTGCATTTAAATCCATAGTTACTGCTTTCAGTTCACCCATAGTACTTAGACAGTGGGACAGGAGCAACGCCGATTGTACGCACAGATCACCGTGGATTTCAGGCCTGTGCATGGCTCACAGGATGCTCACCAGTGAGCCCTGTGGTCGCTGTGTCCCCCAGGCAGATCGGATCACATTACCGTGTACAGGACCAATGAAATTGGTCTTATACTATGAGATCGCTGTGTCCAATCACAGCGATCACATGGTAGACATAAGAGGTTAACATTGGTTTATCTCTGCTCTCAGAGGTTGTCTGTAACTGCTGCCTGTGACTATACTCTGCCTGTCACACTGCATGCACACTCAGACTGCAGTGCCAGTCTGCCCCCAGTATCCCTGATCACTGCTCCCAGTATAATAAAAATAAACATTGCAGCCAGCCCCCTGTCCCAGTGTCACCATTGCTGCCAGTAACACCACTATACCTCATACCAGTGTCCTGATCACCACCATACCAGCGTCCTGATCACTGCCATACCCATAGCAGCATCCTGATCACCTCCATACCCCATACCACCATCTGATCACCGCTATACCCATTAACACCATCTGATCACTGCCATACCTCATACCAGCATCCTGATCACCGCCATACCAGTTTCCTGATTATTGCCATACCCCATATCAATGTCCAAATCACCGCCATGCACTGTACCAATGTCCTGATCACTGCCATGCACATACCAGCATCCTGATCACCTTCCCACCCCATACCACCGTCCTGATCACAGCCATATCAGCGCCCTGATCACAATACCCCATACCAGCTTCCTGATCAAATCCATACCCCATACCAGCGTCCTGATTACCAGCATACCCAATACCAGCGTCCTGATCCCCACCATACCAGTTTCCTGATCTCTGCCATACTTCCTTCCTTCATTCTTTCCTTCCTTCATTCTTTCCTTCCTTCTTTCCTTCCTTTCTTCCTTCTTTCCTTCCTCCCTCCCTTCCTTCTATCCCTCCCTCCCATAGGAGGAAAGGAAAGAGAGAAGGGAGGAAAGATGGAAGGAATGAGAAGGAAGGTCTTCCCTTGAAGTGGAGGGAGGGATAGATTGATGGATGGGATTAAAAAAAGGCAAGAGGGACATTCCTTTTATTCCTTCTTCCCTCCCCTGGCCTTTTTTTTTTCCTTCCCTCCTTCCTTCCTTCCTTTCCTTCTCTCCCTTCCTTCTCTCCCTTCCTTCCTTTTTTCCTCCCCTCCCTCATTCCTTCCTCTTTTCCTTCCTTCCTTCCTCCCTATCTTCCTTCCTTTCTCCCCTCCTTTCCTTCCTTCCTTCCTTTCTTCCTCCCCTCCCTCATTCCTTCCTTTCTTCCTCCCCTCCCCCATTCCTTCCTTCCTTCCATCCTTCCTTCCATATCCCGTCCGGATCTCTGCCATACCCCAATACCAGCATCTGGATCTCTGCCATACCCCAATACCAGTGTCTTGATCACTGTCATACCCTATACCAGCATCCTGATCACTGCCATACCCCATACTGGACTCCTGATCACTGTATGGTGTCCCCATACTCAGGAGGCATAGCAGAATGTTTTTGTGGGTGTAGTTTGTTAGTATGTCAATGCTGTGTGTGTGACAACTTTGTGAAAAAAGTTTATTTAATTTTCCAAAAAACTGTGACATAAAATTACAACTTCAAAAACTCACCATTATTAAATACCTTGAACTGTCTACTTTCCAAAAAGGGGTTATTTGTACTGTCCTGGCATTTTAGGGTCTCAAGCTATATACAATAGTTTGTAGACTCTACAGTAAAACTAAATAATAAACACGGTTTTGCATTATTTTTACCAAAAAATGTAGCAGAGAACATTATGGCCTAAATTTATGAAGAAAGATTATTTGCAAAATTTTCTAACAAAAACTAAATTATTTTTTTTTTTTGTCACAATTTTCAGTATTTTTTCATTTATATAGCAAAAACAGAAAACCCATTGGTGCTTAAATATCACACAAAAGATAGCTCAATCTGTCATTTGGGTAGAGTGTTTGTTGCATGCCTGAGTAATTGCCATTCAAACTATGACAGTGCTGAAAGCTGAAAATTGTCTTGGACAGGAAGGGGGTGAAAATATCCAGACTTGATGTGGTTAAAGACTAAAGATCCTGTGTCCTCTACTGTACTCTAAGAAACTGAATTTACTAGTAAGTCCAAATTCCTATTCTCTTAATTCTACAGTACAGAACACAGAATTGATTCTTAGATTATGGGTTAAATGCTACTACCTTCAGGTGACTGGACACTTCCAAAAGCTTTGTGGGCAGCACAGTGGCTAAATGGTTAGCACTTCCACCTGGCAGTACTAGGGTCGTTGGTTCAAATCCCAACCACGGCACCACCTGCCTGGAGTTTGCATGTTCTCCCTGTGCCTGCGTGGGTTTCCTCTGGGTACTCCGATTTCCTTCCACACTCCAAAGACATCCTGGTAGGTTAATTGGATCCTTTCTAAATTGGCCCTAGTATGTATGAATGTAAGTTAGGAACCTTTAGATTGTACGCCCCTTGAGGGTTAGGGACTGATGTGAATGTACAATATATATGTAAAGCGCGGCGTACATTGACAGCGCTATATAAGTACCAGAAATAAATAATACAAATAAATAATATGATATTCCATCAGCAATCACTTGCTGGATTTCTGGTTTGTACACTAAATAAAATGTAAAGTCTTGCAGAGTTGGAAACTAACTTGTAGTGTTTTCATTGCTCCTTTGTTCAAACCCATAAACTACTATGTGTATGTATGCATGTGAGTTTGTGACCTTAGACTGTATGCCCCTTGAGGGTTAGGGACTGATGTGAATGTACAATATATATGTAAAGCACAGCGTAAATTGACGGCGCTATATAAGTACCTGTAATAAAAAAAAATAATAAATCCCCCCCCCCCAGTGTACCCATATATCCCTGCCCACTCCATGAGGCGTAGGTTGTTTTTTGCTAGTGTCCTTGGGTGATGAACCATCCTCGTGTTGAAAAAGAATGTTTTCTTTTTCACCAGTTTTCCTTTCCTTCTTCAACTAACTTTTCTATCAAGATTTGATAGCTTTATTGCCTTATAGTTTACTAGCACTTTCCAGATCGGTTATCCTTGATCTACATTATGGGAACCACACCCAGACCCTGCAGGGTAGCCTGTTATGTTTGCTTCAGACATTGGAACCTACGTTCATTCACACCCTGGTATGAGGCGCAACAAGTAAGTTGGCTGAATGGTACTATACATGTCCAGGGCAGTTGTCTATTCCTATGGCACCCATATCCTGCAGACCCTTTCAGGGAGTATGCCTACCATGACAGGCAAAGCCT